GACAGGCTCATGAAGGATGTGCTGAGGCCCTTTGTGCCGGCGTACCACGGCGACGTGGAGAAGGACGGGGAGAAGTACAACCAGATGGACGACTTGCTGGCCGAGTTCGAGCTGCCCTGTGTCATGGACTGCAAGATGGGCGTCAGGTCAGCTGCCTTGTCATGACCTGACTGTGATTTGCTGTACTGCACGTTTAATCTTTATCTAAAAGCTGTCAGCTTAAAAATTAAAACAAACTGAGCTGGCTAGGCAAGCTACAGTATTTCTAGTTTTTTTAGTGATTTGTTGTGCCTGTTTGTATCCATGCAGCATTTTTTTAGCAATTAGATTCTCTACAGAATAGCTGTGCCAAGAATTAACAGACTCAAAATAAGACTGAAAAAGACTGTTGATGTTAAATGGATATTAAAGGCTGCTGTGTATAAAACCATGTTGTGACAGGGTTTGTTTTTCTAATTAATCATTAATAATGTTTTTATATGTGCATTTTAAGAATTTAGCATATAGATTAAACTGGATTAGTATCAGAGAAATAAAATCACTCTGATATTTAATCTTACCTTGTTATCATGTACCTTCATCTCTGTTACATGATTGATGCTGTAGTAGAATAGCAGATTATTTTTTTAATTCACAAAAAAAGGTGTATTTTTCCCTGTGGGGCAAAGACCTCACGGATTTAGACTCACTGACCTGCGGTCACAATGCTGTCTTAAATTTGCTTAACAGAAATTTGTTTGCTCAGGTTTGACCTCTCTGAAACAGAGCAGAGTCGATGTACAAATATAGAAGTAACCAGATGGCCAGGATATGAGCACATTCTGAGCTAAGCTGTCCAAACAAAGCAACTTGATACAAATGATCTCGAGGTTTGGGTTTCAGCCTAATCAAATGGAAAGGTTAAGAAGATTCAGTAAAATACATTACATTCTAAAGAATCTGAAAATTAGAAACATAAAGTTTACAAATGAGAGGAGGCCATTCGACCCTTCCAGCTTGTTTGGTATTTAGTAGCTATTTGATCTAAATATCTCATCTGGAAATTATTCTCGAAAGAAGTGAGGGTACTGGCTTTTACAACATGGCAGGGTAGCGTATTAGACTCTCTATGACCCTTTATGTAAAGAAGTGCTTTGTGTTTTCACTTTCAAACATGCTTCCCCTTTGTTTTAATTTGTGTCCTCTTGTTTGTGTTTCCCTGTTGATGAAGGGTTAACTTTGCCTCAGCACCTTTCAAGATGTTGAAGACTTTAATTAAAGTTCCTTGTCATTTTCTCTCTTCAAGGGTGGGAATGTACCTTGATGCTCTTTTCTGTGATACCAGAATATTGTTGTTTGCAGTTTTGGTAAATGAAGGCACTCAGTTTCAAACAACATTAAATTACTTAACTGAAAGGCACATCAAGCCTTTCCTGTTAACCTGAGGTGTCTTTTTGTCAACAGCTTAGATTAGTCATTTTGAACATGAAATTTTGAAACATTAACAAACATTAATTTAAAACTTACTTGGAAGTACGACTATATAAACCTTTCACAGGAATAAATGTATCTAATTGTTTTTGTTTGGGAATTCAACTCTCTGGTCAGGAGTGGACCCAAAACGCAACCCCCTCTCCTTTTGTATTCTTAGGAGAATTTAGTTTTTAGTGTGTGTGGTTTTGATTTACACTGTGTTTTCCTGGATTGACTTTGTAGCATAAGTACAGTAAGTCCAGAACTAGCTTTTGTGTAAAACGGGATTCAAATAACGTATATAATTTTAGATGAATGTGAACAATGTAACATGCTTTTATGTAACTGAACAGTTGATTTTGTCCGTCGTACACTTCAGAAATTTTTGTTTTTTCTCCTCCTTCCTTTCTCCCTCTTTACACTTCTTAGAACATACCTGGAGGACGAGCTCACGAAAGCCAGGAAGAAGCCCACCCTCAGAAAGGACATGTACCTGAAGATGATCGAGGTGGACCCCAGTGCCCCCACGGCTGAGGAGCAGGCCCAGCAGGCCGTCACCAAGCCGCGGTACATGCAGTGGAGGGAGACCATCAGCTCCACGGCCACCCTGGGCTTCCGCATCGAGGGCATAAAGGTGGGCGTTACTTGAGCACGGCGAGCTGTGTGCAGCTGTCAGCGGAATGAGTAGAAACCTTTTTAACTCAAAGTACCACTAGATTTCTAGTCATTCAGATGTGAAACATACTTTCATACCTGTCTGATGTTGTGAAATCCTGAGGTAAAGATTTGAGGTAAATCTATTATACCATATTTCAATATTTCATGTTTTTATCAGGGGCCTGGTGGGGCAGTGCTGGATGCCTGTGGTTAGCTTTGATGACTTGCAGTGTTGGACCCCTGGGTTCAGGTCCTGGGATACTATCTGTGTCGAGTTGTTATGTTCTCCTTGTGTTCAAGTGTCTTTTCCTGACCTGTGATCAGGTCACAGTCCAAAGATGTACCAGCAGGTTAATTGGCTTTTGAAAAAACTGGCCCTCTTGTGAGTGTGCACGTCTCCGTGTGTGCCCTGTGATGGCCTGACGTCCAGGGTGCATCTGCCTTGTGCCTGTTGTTTGCTGGGATAGGCTTCGATAAACTGGTTAGAAAATGGATGGATGGATTTTTCAATAGCTCTGTGACCTCCCAGGACAAGAGATGCCGAGTCTTTGCCTCAAAGACCTGGCTTCTAGTCTCATGCTTTGTTTATATTTTTCATAACTGAAGTAAGTACACAAAGATTTCAGAGAACCCCCCTTTGTCTCTTCTGTTCTTAATTACCCTGTTCCATCTGATTAGGTTTTAGTGATGTGGCTGTCGCTAGCCCTACAAAAAGAATCCATGTTGAAATCATCAGAAGTTATTAATACTTTAAAAGAAGTATAGATCTAAAATACGTTTTTTTTAAATCTGCCATAGAAATTTATTTGCATCGTATTTTAACATAGAGACAGTCACAAAATACGAATGGCAGTGACAATGAAGGTGTCTTTTCCATATATGCGTGTCCCTGAAGTGCCTGCTTCGTTTGCATTTTAGGGAATAATGTTTCTGACGTGTTTCGTGTTTCATGGACAACAGGGTGCATCATTTTCTATCTTCTGGCTTCCTGTTGTGATGTGTACACTACAGCGTGTTTTTGTCACAAAACGAGCCTGCTCATGGCATTTCCATTGTAATTGTCATCAGTTTCTGACATACTGAAAACTCCAACAAATCCATTACAGCCTGGTGTTGGATTATCTTAATCCTTTTTAATTTGCTACTATTTTAGTAAAACACTGTCATTCACTCCACCAACCTCTGACTTTGTCACTAAGGTTTAATTATTGCTATTGCCTGTAATGCCTTCAGAAGAGTTTCCACAAAGAGGAGAATTATTATTTTCTGCCTTATTCAAAAGATCTCAGAACAAGCACTGTATAGAGACTTGAATCTATAGAGGTAACAAAAAGTCCATTCTTGTTGCACTTCCTTGGTTTTCATGGATTACAGTCTGGTCATATCCTAAGGTAAAAATGCGTTTGGAATAAACAATGTACATGATCAGTTTTAACTAATTTCAGTTGTTTTTTAGACAATACTAATATAATTACGATAAATTGTTTTACAATAACAGTCCTTAATGTCAAATTGATGAGAATGTTATTGATTTCTTTTGAAGATATACGTGTCATAACAGTTGAGAAAAATTTAAACTCCGGCAAATTGGTTCTGTTAGTTTGTGACTCAAAAGCAGTATGTTATTGTAACGCTTACGGCCGACAGGCACTGTGTAAGAGCCGGCTTACCAGAGCAGGTGACGTCACCGCCCTTCCCTGTGATAGCAGGACCACAGCTACTGGGCTGTAGGGAGATCTCTCTTTGGTTTACCGGGCTGGGTCCCTGTTGAGTGATGCAGGAGTCCCGGGTTTGAGCCCCCGACGGTGGGGGGCCGACCTAAAGTGGCAAGGGCGCCCGCCTGAACCCCCATTGTGTTACATTATGTTTTCATAGAAGAGTGCAAAATCCATGAAAAAAACAAGTCTCCCTAAACATTTATCTGTGACAGGATGATAGATTGATACATTTAAATCCAGTTAGTACCTTCAGACCTGATCTCTTCAGTTCTTAGTTGTGACCAAGGCTTGGTCACTACTAGGATAGGAGATCTCTAAAGGTGTCTGACATGTTTGCGTTCTGCTTGCAGCGTTTTTTAACACAGCTGGTGATCTGTGGGTTTCTGACCTGCTTTCTGTATTTCTGTCCATCACACAAATAACACAATCTGCTCATCATTTTCACAATTTTTTATCTTGTTGTCAACAGTATAGCACTGACTCTGACAAAATTGCATAACCAAACAATAAATTGAATTATTTTATTACCCATAAGTATACAACCTATTATGCTGTTTAATTGATGTAATAATATATCAATATTATTAATTAATATTTAAACATTTTACTTCCATATTATCCTTTCCATTCACTTTCCATAATATTTTATTTGTATTTCTGTCCATTGTATTAGTATTTGTTAAGCTACTAATTTCACCTCAATCTACTGTGACGTGGGAGTCCAGCTGTATCACCCAGGTGGCTGTAGTGAACCCCAGCAAGATTGAAAGTAACGATATTAATCTGATTTATTATCCTTAGTTGTTTTATACTATACATTTCTAAGAGGGGTACTGTAGTAAGGCCAACAATAGTGAATCTGATAAATTTTGTAGAATATTGACGTTTTCGTTTTTTTTTATAAAACCTCTCTCCATTCATACACTCAAATCTTTTTCAGGGTGTGAAAAGTCTTGTATTTCATATATGTTTAATATTTAAATTAATATTATGACACCCCCTTTGATTCTGGGATTACCCTTTGATGAAAATAGTTTGCCTACTTGTTCATTTGAAATAACAGTAGATTCTCCAAAGTATTTATAATATTATAAAGTTTATAAATACTTTGGAGAAAGAAAAATAGAAAACACAATGATTTGCACCTAAATAAC